CTCTTTAGCTGGGTCATCTGCTCCTTGCCATCTGGAGACAAAGAAATGAAATGCTGCAGGGCTTGAAATCTGCCTTCTTGTGGGTGACTGATATGCCGGACCACATTGTCTGTCTCAGGACTGTCGACCTCCTTGGCAGATTGGCCCAGGTCAAAGTGGGGGACACCTGGAGCATCGGGTCCTAGGTGTACAGCTCCAGGGGTACCTCTGACTCCCACCTGAGGGACTTGGGAAATGGCATTGGAGGGAAATTCTGTATCTACTGATGGAGGAACCCAGGCCGAATGATCACCATTTGCTATTTAACTATAACCAACAAGGCATGGGCATCATTCTGTGCTGGTTACCAAGTGAGTGTGAAAGGTTGAACTGGTATCATCTGGAGAACTGTACAACCGCGGGGGACTGTAACTCCAAAACTCTCTGCTAAGTGGACTTTTTATCTGAATCAAGAGGGTTTGTTGGAAACTACAATTCCCACAGAGTTCTGCTTATGGGCTTTTGTTTGTTTTGTTGATTTTACAGAAGCCAAACCTGCTGATTCTGTTGTTTTTCCATTGCAACTGAAATCTTATGGCCTGAGCTGTTCAACTGTGTTATTACAGGTTAAACTTCCTAACTGCCCTAATCCCACAAGGGTCTTCTTCTATGTCTGGGATGTGACTCAAGATGTAAGAAACAAGGAGAGCTGCACTGGACAGAGGGGGTTAGGGTAGACATCGAGAACAGTAGTCTATGGGACAGTTGTAAGAGCCGGGTGCATCTAGAACTGGGTTCCTGGAGTGTGTCCTCTGAGCCTTTCTGGTACCCTGAGGGTCCCTTCTGATCTCCTGGCTTTTTGAGCAAACAAGCTAAGAAAAGAATCATGAGTAAGATATTCAGGAATAATGAGCAACCTCATGAGAATGAAGAAAGAAAACAGAAACATGGAAGAAACAGGATTTCGGAGTGAGCAGAGGTTGTAAAAAAGCAGAATGTGACGGGGAAAGATGGAGAACCACACCGAAACATATGAAGAGATTAGAGAACCTGGCAAATAAAACACTGTTTAAAAACTAAATATTTATTGATGAATCAATAAGTAAATGTGTGACTCATTCTAGCCAGCGCATTCTGCATGCGGGAAAAGTGAGCTGGACTTGTCCATGTTCTTACTGGTAAGTGGTGTCGGAGCAGGAAGTAGCCTGAGCCCCGTGACTGGGGAAGCCCAACACCCTGGGCAGCAGGAGGAGTGCGCACTTCCTGGCACACTGCTGTGATGGTACGAGGCCTTCGGGACACAGCTGACGGCCCAGAAAAGAGAAAGGGTGCAGGCTGAGATCCTGCGTCTTCCCTGATGAAATCTGAGGGACGCCAGGCCCCAGGCAATGAGAGGAAGGCCCCTTCCGTCTTCCTGTGTCTTTTTCTTCTCTGGTGGCAGAAGAATCAATCCTGACATAAAACCATCCCCTCTCTTCTTGGGAGGCATGTGAAGTATCCCCTGAATTCAGAGATGGGCTTATACCCTTTCCTCACTTTATCTTGTCCCTCACTTTTCTGAGTTTCCTGAATACAGTTTCTAGAAGTTTCTCCTCTTCTAGAAAATGGAGTCGAAAACAACAGGACATCTCCCAAATCAATAGAAGCCAGGGTCAATTTCCTACAGAAGACTTGTCTTTGAGGCCATTTTCCTCTCTGTGAGAAAACAGGAACTCCCCCCTCTTTTGTTTCTTCCTTTGCCCTGCTCACAGACATCTTAGAATGAACCATGGAGCTAGTCTGAGTCCTCCAAGAGGCCAAGGAGACTTCAGTTTTCAGATCCCACTTTACTTCTCGTTAACTGTTGTCTGTGGTGACCCAAAGCAAGATGGCCCTACGCTCAGTGCCACTGAGAAGGGGACTCAACACATTCAGATGAACTTTGTCTTTTGAATTTGTGTTTCTTCCCTCAGGAAACGGTGCTGGTTTTAATAATTGGGAAATGTTCCCTGCCACAAAATGGCTGGTGAGCTGCGGCACAGGCAGGCCTTTCTGTTCTGAGGAGATGGAGACAAGAAGACTCACACTGCCTAGATTCGGCAAAGCCAAGTGCGTGGAGACCCAGCCTGCCATCCGTCTCTGGGGAGCCCTGCCAAGAGCTCTTGCATAAGCCACAGTGAGCTCATGTGTTTTCATGTGCATCGGCAGATCATGGGCTTCAGGGCAGGGGTTAGGCTGGAGGAGGGAGCTTGCAAGAGATGTGTTCCTGCAAAGAGGGGGTGCTCTGGGAAGCAAACGTGCTCCTATCGCTCAGGATGATGAAAGTGGTTTTTATCTTTGTGCCAGTACACATTCCTCACGGCATCAATATCAGGGGAAGGGAAGGGAAGGGTGGTACTTGATCTTATGAACCCCAAGATGGGTGGTGGAATGGGGGTGTTTAATGAGTCAAAGGTGGCGTGTGGGGTGCGGATAAGACAGATTTCCTCTTGGTGTAGAGGACGTCAGATAGGTGCCCGATTATGTCCACCATCCACAAGCTGGGCATCTGGCCTTGGTTGAGTGTCAGTTTCTGGCTGTTGTTACTATCTAAAATGTGGGAAATTCATTTCCTTCACTGACTGAGGCAGGCCGAATATTCCAGAACCTGAGGTTACTCAGCCTGCCTTTTAGTGTGGCACAGCACCACGCAAACCAGCTTTGGACCTTTGCTAACCAGCCTCCTTCCCTGGCTCAAGCAGGAATGTTTGGAATACAGCTAAGACCCTCCTTGGGTAGACTGTTGCCTCTTGAGCGGTTGAGATGTCTGACCCTAGGACCGCAGCTCAGGTCACCTTGGGGCCAGTGGCCAGGCGTAGAGCAAACAGGATGATCCCTGCTTTCCTTCCACCTCACCTATTGAAGAGTCTCCCTCTGCATAAAAGGAGCCAGTGCTGTTCAAGGGGCTTCCCAGACGTTCTCTCTCAGGGGTTAACACACTTCCACTCTAGCTGGGCCCCAGCAGCGAGGAGGCTCTGCCTGCCCCTCAGCCTCCTGTTCCTCCCCTGTCTAGCTTCATCTTATTCACTTGGCGGAACACTGTTACCTACTTTTTATACAAATAAACGAGCATACAGAGGGCCTGTTTTACTTGTTCAAAATAATATTGTGTCCACGCCTCTCTGTAACTCAGTACTTTAAGCAGTTTTTATTTCAGAACTAGGGAACGTGGCTTTTTTTTCTAAAGTGAATGTCTAATTTCTCCACCTGTTTTATATTCTTCCTGTATCATTAATGCTTATAAGGTTTCCCTGTTTACTGTCTTCTAAGAAATTTAATGTTTATTTATCTCTTTCCAGATCAGTTTGGAATATTTATTATTACTATTTTATACTTCTGGAGAATCAAACCTAAGACCTCATATGTGCTATGTGAGTGCTCTGTCTTGGAGCTACAATCCTAATCCACAGCTAGGAATATTTTCAATATGGCTATGACTTTCCTTAGATTTCACTCAAAATTTTCTCCTGACAGGACCAGGGATTTCGCTCAGTGGCTCAAGCATCTGCCTGGCAAGCGTAAGTTCATGAGTTTTATCTCTGGTACCAACAAACAAACAAACAAAATTTTCTCCTCAAGGTGATAGAGTGATGTTTTGATTAATTCCTAATTAGGCAATTAGTAATTAGATTCAATCAGTTGAGAAATAACCAAGCTCTCATAAACAAATCCTTGAATCTTGCTCTAGCAATGTGCAAGATACATTAATACTTAAGGAATCATTAATACTTAAGGAAGACTCCTCCAAGGTGATGCATGCTTGAGTATTTGATGTGATATGTCACAATACCTAGAATTTACCTTTAACAATTTCAGGCCAAAAAAATAAATAAATAAAAAAAGGTATGAAACAGATAAAGCAAAATATTAACAATGGTTAAGTCTAAGTGATGGATACACGGTTGCTCATTATACTCATGGCTCTTCTCTGCTTGGTGTATTTGAGTATTTTCATAAAAAGGCACTGTTGGTAGATGTTTTAATTCCAGGGAGTATATTCCTTTAGGCAGCAGAGAGTGAGCAGACTGGAGGTGAGAGCTGTTTAATCATTTGGGGATTATTATCACTACCTCGATACTTGGCGGCTATAGGGTGTGATGTACTAAACCCCAAAGAGCAGGTCAGTGAGAGCTTCTATTACTAACACCTCCGTGTGTGTTTGGTTCTGAGTTAAAAGATTTAGTGCTCGGGCTGGGGATTTAGCTCAGCGGCATAAGCACCTGCCTTGCAAGCAGGTGGTCGTGAGTTCGATCCCTGGTACCGATAAAAAAAAAAAAAAAGTTAAAAAAGATTTAGTGCTCAATTGCTTTACTTCATGGATATTAGGGAGAGAAGGAACAGTCACCAGAGAAGCTTTTCTTGTCTTGAAGGGTCCTGCCATTTTTCTGCTTACCAGTTGGTACTAGTTTTCTTTCATAAAAAGAATAAGACAAGGTAGAAGAATAAATTTCCTAAATTGCTTTGAAAGTACTTTTGGGAGTCCTTCAACGGAAATTGTAGTCCTTCTGGATTCTTCTTCTAGATTATCTTCTCTGTGCACATACACATTTGTGCATGTGTGCGCATTTGTGCACTACTAGGAATTGAATTCAAGGCCTTAAAACTGATCTATGTCCCTAACTCTGTTTTGTTATTTTTAAGAATTTTAAATTTTGAGACAGGGTCTTGTTAAGCTACTCAACTGCAAAGGCTGGATTTGAATTTATAATGCTCCTGCCCCAGCTTCCCAGAGTGCTAAGATCACAAGTGTGCAAAGCCATATCCAGCCATCCTACAGATTTTTAAAACAACACCTTGAATGGCCTCCTTTACAGACCTTACTCAGCTCTGATGGTTCACTACCTGACCTCATTTTTCTCGCCCTTGATCTTTACTACAGTCTCTGTGTATCTTTTACCATGATCTTTAACACTATGTGAGTACTTTGATCTAACTGTGCTCTCCACTGGCCCTAGTCTGAGCTGTCTCTGCTTTGAGTAGTCTAGGGACAGCCCAGTCGGTGCCTGGGAGGGAGGACCTACGTGGAGGGGAGGAGGAGAAGGTGCCTGTGGGTTTTCTGCTGCCCGGATTAGTGTGCCCTGTACCCAGACACACCAGCGCCACAGTTCAGGTATGTGGAGGGGAGGAGATGGGCACCTCGCTTGTCCCGTTTGAGAAGCTCATAAGTCAGGGGGTCGATCTGGGGGTTGAAAATCCCTGTCGTAATAATGATAATTGTTATGTAATAGCAGTTTCATCAAAATCTGCACATTTTGGTTTTACCATGAACTCAACGTAATCTCTCTTGTTCCCTCTGATTTTTGACTCTTTTCTTCCAATTGTGGACTGCAGTGTTCGTGTTCACCCCTCTTGCCCGAACCAACCTTCTAAAAAAATCCAATTCTCTCTCTCTCTCTTTCATCTCATGAATCTGTATCTTATTATGCGGATCTCTTATTGTATTGTTATTTTACTTTCATGCTGCCGCTTTTTCTCTTTGTCAACGCTGGCCTGATCGCTAAGAAGTGATTGCAAACATTTCTGCCTTTCAGTTCAAACTGAATTTCATATTTTCTGAATCATGAAGCTGCCCTCCATGTGACCTAGAAAGCCCTTTGATGATCCATATTTAGCTGTATCCATCACTCAACAGATGTCTGGGTAAAGGCCCCCATGAGCTCCCTCTACATCCTGTGGTTTCAAGTTCCTGAGTTGTTAGTTAAAAAGCTTTCATCCCCCTGCTCTCCACCCATTCCAGAGTAGAAGGACAGATTCTCACTTCAACCATTCATTTGCTCATTTTACAAATATTTACTTATTACCTATTACATTCTTGACACTGGGCTAAGTGTTAGCCCCTTTGTTTCCAAAACCCATCCTCCTAGCTTGACCCATTTATAACAATTAGATTTTCTGATGATTCCTCTACAATCTACGATTAGCGTTCAATTAGATGGTGTCTTCTATCTGAAGTATTCCTGCCCCCACCCCCCAGGCTTAAAGGCAAACTGATGCCTGATACAATGCACCTGCTGTTGCATATGTAGATTTCAGGATAACAAAGGTCCATTGTAGTTTTACCTAAGAAGGTTTAGTTAGCAGATGAGGCTGCCTGACTCTGTTTGATGTCTCATACAGAAAATGAAGTGTAGCAGGAGTAGGATGCCCAGCAGGTTAGGTAGATAATTTCCAGAACCCCTTGGTTTTCTTTGTCTCTGGTTTCTCGTGAAGATGCCCATGAGGAAAAATGCTTTTTTGCCTTTGGAGCACTCTGGCTCTTCCCATTAGATAGCATCTCTTGGCATCTGGTAGGCAGCCTGCCATTCTGTTCTCCTGTGGAACACAGATGGCCCAACCCACGCCTATCGCTAATGAGGATCACATGCAGAGCCTCCTTGCTAGAGGCCCCCTTCAACAACCCCAGCTCTTCTTCCCCTGCTGCCTGGTCACTACTGACCATGACATTTAAGCTTTAGAAGACTGCTGTTCTCCCACTCACTTAACTGAACAAAACATGGATTAAGTATGCGCTGGGAAATAGGTCTCATCCCAGTAGAACTTGGAGACATGGAGGATGAAGGGATGGCTGCCAACTGAATAGCAAGGTGATCTAGCTATCCATGGAGGTTGCTAAGCTTTAGGAGGAACAAGCACTGGAAGTTCTTCAGTAGAGTATAACTGGATGGCTAGGTAGAGGTTGACAGGATAGGATATCAATTGGTTAATGTCATGCAACTTCACACTAAGACACTAACAAGGTTAGAAACAGGTAAGAATGTTAAGAACATTAAAATACGGTGGAAAAAGCATAGAGTTTGATGCAAAGCAGACATGTGCCAAGTCTTGGTCTAATACTTGCTAGCTGTTGGACAAGATTCTTCAACTTCCTATGCACTAATTCTTTTATCTGTGAAAGAAGTACAATGCATATCTCATAGGCTGTTCTGAAGATTAAAAGGAATAGTACATAAAAAGCTCTTGACATAGTAACTGGCACCTAGTAAGCAGTGAATGGGAATTACCTTTCTTATCTCCCTTTCCTGTTTTCTTTCTGTAACAGAATGTTGAAATATGCATTCCAATATGGTAGAACATCAGTTGAGCTAAAAGCAATGGCTCCATATGAAAGTCTATATGATTCTGCTCTCCGGCTTTATTTAAAAATTGATTGATATTTGAGGTGCGGGATAGATTTTTTTCCTTGCTATTTCATGTGTGATGTAGGCTTATATTTTTGACTAGATTTTCACACTGCTAATACAGACCCCGACAGAGATGGAAACTCTCTTTTGGTTCTAATTCTAGGAGTAACCATTCCTTCAACTCTTAAAATCTGGGGAGGACAGATCATGACCATCACAGCCTGCCTGAGACAGGTTAGTACTACATATATAGGTCTGGTCTAATTGGTCGGTGCATACTGATTTAGAAATTTTTCTGGGAGTCATTTATTATTCTTTCATGAAATAAGGGCTATGATTTAACATTGATTAATATGATTGATTAATGTGATTAACACAATTTCAAAAATCATGTCAACAGCCCTTTGGACAGGGGAAATCAGCTACTGTTCCCTTTCTACCCGACCTGGTTCAAGCTTTTCCTGCAAGAGCAGGTGGATGTTCATCACCCCAGCACACACACCAGCAGCCCTTTCCACATCAGGCCAGGTCCAAGAGTAGTAATTTCCACCTTCCTATAACTGTATTCTTTAGAGGTTGTTCTGCTCCCCGGGGCTACACAGATAGAGCCTTAGTCTGGTGCCAGTCATGTGTTTCCTTTACTTTGTCTCCTCCTTAAACCTCTCTTCAGTCTCTTCCCCATTCAGGGAACAGAGTCCAGATCCTTGATTTTTGCTTGAAGATGTGCAGAGAACATTAAAAACGACCACAGAGAATGGTGGCACCTGCCCTGTAGTCCCAGTTACTAGAGAGGCTGAAACAGGAGGATCACTGGAGCCCAACCATTCAAGGGCAACCTGGGCAACATAGTGAGACCTCTCAAAAACAAGCAAAAGGCAAACAAATAACCCAAAAATGTCGGCAAGCTGGAGATGTCTTGTCCTAGAAGAGTACTATCTGAAATGTTATTGAAGAGAGTGGTCACTTGCATGCTCCTGTCTCCACTGGACTGTTGAGGGATAGGCTTGTGACACAGGGAACCTGAGAGTCTGGGTCCTTCCATCTCCAGAGTTCTATTTTTACGGATCCTGATTGTGCAGTGGTGCACGGAAGACACAGCCTGGCCGGGATGGGAGGTAATTGAGATTTTGGCCAAGAGAAGAGAGGGCTCGAGATGGGAAAAGTTGGTGCAATTATTTTTGGCAGTAGTTGGAGCCAAAGCAGCAGGAGAGAGTAAGTTTTAAGACTCTCTGGCAAAGTAACTTCCTAATCTGTCACTGAGTATGTGTAAAAAAGTGATTAGTGGGTCTCTATATTTATCGTGATTACTCACAAATATGTAATTTACATAATATATACAGCACATTAAGTACTATGTCACCTTATATAATGTGCATATGTATAATGTATATGCATGTTATGTAATGCCAGTCTGGAGGCTTTTCCAGGTTCTGCCAAGTATTTCCTAGTTTATTTGGCAATTTGAAGGCATCTTTTCCATCTGTGAAGAGAACGCTCTGGAGAGAAGCTGGTCTCTGACCTGCATATCATTGTCATAGGAAGTCTATCTGCACTCTCAGCTCACTGGGGAAGCCCCATGGAGATGCAGCCTCTAGCCCATCAGACCAGGGACAACGCAATGGACTGAAGATTTCCTGTTGTACTGTTTTTATTGCTAGACGGGTGGGAGCACAAAGGCAGGTGAGAATGTGTCTACAGCACAGTTCAGAATCAGAATAAGACACAAAATACAAGAATGGGCTCTCCCCTGACTACCTACCTGTGCGGCTTTGAGAAGCCACTGAGCCTCATCAAGCCTTGAGATACTAACACCTTCTTTGCTACCCTCAGTTAGTGCTGTGGGGATCACTCTCGATGAGGGATTTCACAGTAAGAAACTGCAGCCATGGTGTTTATAAGATGATTTGCAAAGAAGATTAAACAACAACATGGGACTTACTAAGGTGACCGAATCGGCAGTCAATGCCACTGAAATTGATTCTGTTCTGCTCCATTAAGAGGCCCCAGGTATGTCTCTCCAGCAGCATTCAAGTTCTGCTCCTTGGGGGAGTGGATAGAAGCCCATCTTGGCAAGGCCCCTGCCTGAGGCTTGTGAGTGTCTCGGAATAATTTTACCTGTTGATAGTATTGTGTCTCAACAGCCTCAGTCTTGGAAGATCAGGACGGAAACCTACACAAATGCTCCTGTAAATGTCTTAGAATCAGGGCCCCAAATCTGAACCTGTGTCAGTTTTGGAACCAAGTAGCTTCTGAGATAGTACCTGTCATCATTCTGGAGCTTGGTGGTCCCATCGCCTAGGATCTCATCAGGAAGAGTGTGCTTTGGGTGGCCCGCTTTTGCTTTTCTCAGCATTCAGCACTGTTGCGTTGGGTGGAATGGTCCCAGATCTCAGTTCCAGATGACTGTTTCCTTCAAAGGTAGACCTGGTTTGCACACACCATCTTAACATCGTCTTCCTTGTCCAGAGCTCCTGGCCCAGTACGAGAAGACTCGAGACAGCTCAATGGAATGGTGTCAAGGGGGCCCAGGACTTGAAAAATCTAAGAGAGCGATGGAAGCCCAAGGGAGCTCAGAGGCCAAGGAAAATGTTGTTTTATGCCAATGACGCTCTGCACAGAGTTGCCCTTGGGAAAGGTAGGGGGATGCTGGCACCATCCGAGTGAAGCCCACTGCCCTCTGTTACCCTCTGTCCTGGCTGGAAGTATCCCACACAAGGTGCTCAGTCCTCCTGCGGCGCTTTCATGGTTGTTTTGAGGACGCACAAAGAGGTGTTTTCTTCATGACAAGCAGCTCCTTTCTGTACCCTTCCACCTTGCGATGGGCCCAGAAAAATGTGTTCTTGACAATGAAATGGCCACTTTCTGTTCCCATATTACCTATGCTTCTTTCCAATCAGGAAAAGTCCATCGGTAAATAAATATTTATGTATGAATATAAATATACATGCTACATATACACACATGTAAGACCATTCAAAGGTCCTTCGGGTCCTACTGTGAGGACGGGAGGTGCCAAGTCCACAGGAACCCCCTGATGGGTTATTTCCTGGTTTCTCCAACAAGGTCCCTTCCTCCCATCTTCTCTGCCTTGGGGACTAGACTGCCACACAGGGCTTGGGACAGGAAACATGTTCTGACCTGAGGGTGGGGTGGGGTGGGGCCAAAAGACGCTGGGGTGTTCTCTCTTCTTCCCTTTTTGTACACTATTATGACCCGATTTGAAAAATAAATCCTAGTTTGTCTGCTCTCCCACCCAGGCGTTCACAGGAGTAAGAAAATAAATACCACATCTGAGATGTGCTGTACCGGCAGCTCCAGGGCTCTAGGAGCCAACACTAAAAAAAAACCCATGCAGCCACCAGGAGAGGGTTCAGGAAATGCACAAGCGCTCACAGGCGGCACAGGGAACCGAGAGTGGACACACAGCCCCAGGCAGCCTTTCTGTCGCCTCAGCAAGTTCAGGGAGAAGTTGTCGCCCAAGGGACAACTGAGGAATCATGGTGGGTTCTTGCTGAGCCCCGCTCAGAGGGCTGGAGGCCGCGAGCTCTGCACAGAAGGTCCTTTGTGTAGATTCTCTGGAACCGAGCTCTTGGCTTTTACCTCAGCCCATAGTGAGCTCTCCGTGGGCAGGAACCCCATGGGCTGCCACTTGCAGGCATAGGCTAGGAAAAGTGCAGGGCTGGTGCAGAGAAGGGGCGAGGTCTCCTTCCGTCTCTGCAGGTCCTGCTCAAGGCCTGTGAGGCTGTGGGGATTGGAACGTCCCTTGAGACTGGTTCTAGTTAGGGGTGTTTCCATTATTGAAACAGATCGCATGGCAAGGTGAAGTTTTCTTCCTCAAAGGTGGCTTTGCTCTGTGTGTGTGTGTGTGTGTGTGTGTGTGTGTGTGTGTGTGTGTGAATGTGGTTACAATTTCTTGTCTTCTCTCTTGGTTTCGCTGGCGTCGGACACACAGTCTAGTCTTTTGAACGGCTTTTCCTCCTCAGTGAGAAGAAGCTGCTTTTCTGGGGAGGTCCCATCATCATGGGGGCTTGGTTCTTGTGAGTAATTTTAATCTAAAAGCAAAGATGCAGAAACGAATTAGTGGCAAGGCAAACCCTGCAGGCGGGGACGACAAAGCATGGCACAGGGAAGAAAGGAGGCCAGCTTCGGCTGGAAGGAGCTCCATGCAGAAGGACAAATGTCCTTGAACGGCTTCAGAATTGGCAACCTGACCCTGACTGGGGCTGGAGCTTGGCACTGCTGGAAGTGAGGGGCGGAAAGCCTGGGGAGAGACAGGTGTGAGCTTCCCACGTGGCGAGCGGCTCGCACCTGTCTTGTGTCTTTGCTATTCATAGACCGTCAGAATGTCACAGCCGGAGGAGACCTCGGGCACCTTCTCATTCATCCCCTCTGTAGGACAGATGAAGAATGGGAGCCCGAGGCCCCACGGGTACTTAGGTTAGCCTGAGTCCACTCCCAGGGGGCAGAACAGAGCAGCCAGAGCCCAGTTCTTCAGTGTCCCAGCCTCTGTCCTGCCCAGGCAGTGGACAGATGTCAACCACCTGACCTGGAGCTTTCAATGTGACCTCTGCATGAGCAACATCACATGTACGGTTCCCAAGCGAGACTCTTAGGTAGTTCCTCTTTTCTAAGCGTCCAAGGAAAACCCTGCTTTCTTTGAAAAACCATTTTAAAAAATATAGGGTTTAAAAATGTTCTGTTCTCTAAACTTTGAGTTGGTCTGAAGAGAAAGACACTGATTCTCAGCTAGACATCATGGTGCACGCCTATAATTCCAGCACTTGGAAAGCTGAGGCAGGAGGATCACTGCAAGTTCCAGACCAGCCTAGGCTACAAAGTGAGGCCAAGGCCAGCCTGAACTGCATAGCGAGACCCTGTCTCAAAAAGACCAAAACAAACAAAAAAAAGAAACTGATTCTCAGTTTTCTTCCCAATGCATGGGAAAAATGTTTACTCCCTGTTTGAATGTGGTCTTGTAACTGCCACCTCAGTAACCTGTGTTATCCGCCCATCAACAACACTGATCAGATACGACCCATATGTCCCTCGGGGCAGATAATATGAACAGGTGGCATTTAAGACACAAAGGCCTGAACTGAGTTGCCCAAGACCTATGTGGGGTCCAAGCATTGGACTTCTTTGCTGTGCAACTTTGGATGAACCGTGTAACGTTCAGGGCCAGTGCGTGCTGATCTAAGATGAGGATAACAACATTTGTCCTATTTTAAATTTCCCCACAAAGACGGAGGCTCAAGGGCCAGCGAGAACCTATGGTAAACCATACAATGGAAAGGAACGGTTAGACACTTGTTGTCTTACGTTGGGGGAGAAGAAACAGAGCCCACGAATCTGGGAAGCCAATCTGGTGGTTTTTACCACATTATGGGAACTCACAGTGTGGTCACAGGAACCAGAAAAAGTTGTGAAGAAAGAGAGAGAGAGAGAGAGAGAGAGAGAGAGAGAGAGAGAGAGAGGAGAGAGAGAGAGCACATTAAGTTTAAATGATGTAGGATAAACCAAATGATATCAAAAAGAAGTTAGGTAAAGAATGAGAAGAGCTAATGGGATCAGTTAGGGAAGAATTTTAGGACACAAAAGGAAGGAAGGAAAGAAGAGGAGGGAGGGAAGGTGTGTTGAGAAAGGAAAAAGAGGAGGTACTAGTGGTAAGAGGGACACATGCACGATTATATGGGGGCAAACAATCAGAAACAATGTGGTCTATGTACAGTGTGGCAGGTGGCTGGTGTAGCGCTTCAAAGGGGAGGTGGTTCCGGGCATGGGGGTACACACCTGTCATCCCAGCACTCAGGAGGCTGAGGCAGGAGGATCACCGGGAGTTTGAGGCCAGCCTGAACTATATAGTGAGACCCTGTCTCAAGAAGACAAAACAAAGAA